GTATGAGAGGATGGAATGAGCTTCTCTGTTTAGCGAGGTATTCAAAATGATGATGTCATGCTTAAGGCCCTAGAAAGTGATGTATATTTAGATTGTTTGAAATAAACTCAATAACACAGTCTAAGAAATGGCGACAACGTCGAATGTCCATGCTGAAAATTCTTGCCTCGAGTCCAGCCTGCTGCGCATGACCTTTGGAAACAAGAGCATCATTTGCTGAGCTCAAGCCGCCTGAAACGCAGGTGAGGAAGATCGTGGTACTGAGATTGCTTGAAAATGAATTATTAGCGCCTGATAATCCCATGGGTTTGGCCTGAATGGGCAAGCTCCCGCCAGGCAGGAGAGAACCACCACAGCTGGAGCAGAGAATGTCGCTCAGAGAAGCGCTACTTCTGATACAGCTACTGCTGGCGTGACTATCGAGAGCGTGGCCATTAATCGTTTGGAAGGCTTCCTGATGCTTCATATTCTCCTTAAGTTTTCCAGCCTGATTAATATCATCCACTTTGCAAGCGACTTCTGTACTGGCCAGACCGGTGATATTTGCTTGGTGGTTGTTATCCTCAGTGCAGGTACAGACGCAGATAGAGACGCCAAGAACTTGTGTCAAGTCTGTTGTACAAGCCTGTATCCCGCCTACTCCGTTTCCGGAGCGAAGCTCCCTACTACTTATGCTTGAATGGAAGGGAAAAAACGCCAAAGACGCGCTTGCTAGCCCAAAACGACGTGATAAGCTCTGATGGTGATTATTATTTTGCGAATTTTGATCTCGTTGTGATTGGGCTTGACAATTAAATGAGGCTGTCGGTGTGTTTCGGCCTGTACGCCAGTTGTGAAGAAGACCATGTTGCGCAGTCAATTCTACCTCGTTGTTTGAGTCACGTCGAGAGATGGTGCCAGAAGCAGAAGCCCGACGTAGACATGCATGACCAAGTGAATCTCCGATCAAGCCAGCGCTTGAGTGCGTCAGGGTGTTGGAACTCGCGTTCGGGCCCACAGTTACTGCCAGGGAAGATTTACTTAAAGTCCCCGATGCATTTAGCAGCAGTGATAATGTGTTCCGCCGTGGCCTGGAGTTAGGCACCTTCAGACTGAATCCAGATCCTCTGCCGCCAGGACCTTCGCCGGCCGCAATGCAGCTGGAGGAAGCTGGGTAGTCAAGCGATGACCGGCTTCCACTCCCCAGCAGGCTGAACAGCTGATGAAGATCGATAAGAATGAGGCTTACTTCATAAGAAGGGATATGTGGACGACAACGACAAGAGGGGCAGTAGGAAGGCGACGGCGACTAGAATCACAATTCAGGCATGGTGGTTGCTGGAGTTTGAAAAGCGCCATCAATGACATGGCCATACAGCTTAAACAAACCCAAATTTAAGGCTCTGTGAGGTATAAGTTAAAGTGGCATTCTACTATGATATATATATATAGTTTTGGCTTTGGTCTTGTTTGTGCTGGCTTGTAAAGATGGATAGAATAATGAATCAAAATTTAATTTTTAAGATAGTACCTTTCCTAGTTACCCTTGCACAAGTTATTTTTCATATAGAAGTTGAAAGGCCTACAATTATTGTGTCAGATGAAGTTTAAGTGGAGCTTCACTGGAATGAATTTAGGAAGAGATTTCATGCAAATATTGACGAGTAAACAAACACATATTAACGAATTACTTTACATTAAATCGAAGATATGTGAACAACTACCGAAGTAACGTAAGAAATTACTTCATCAAGTAGGATAGGCTTATAGTCAAGCCGAAATTCATATCCTTTAACTGTTCCTCGAAATGTACACTGGCGAGGTAAGTGTCAAAAAAATTATTATTTCCTTTGTCAGGATTAAATTAATTTATAGCCAGACGTAACGGCATAAAGTCGAATACAGAAATGGAAATAAAAAAGGTGAGCAACCGTGTGGAAATATTGGTTAATACTGATATGTGAGAGATTAATAAAACAAAAAGAGGGATTTCTTGTGAGGTATACTGGGTCAGAAGACCTGGATAGCTAATTGAACATTGACTTTTAAATAAAATATAGGGGAACATTAGGTGATATAAATAGAAAAATAGCTCGTTCAACAGATAAACAAATAGACAGTGTTAGTGCAAGGTGAAGGAATAGAGATAAGAAGAATAACTGGTGTTTGATTAATCTGCTGATCAAACATTTCAGAGTCTTCTTCCAATTTGTTTGAGACCGTAGGATACAACCAACATACCAGAAAACTTCGGATGATCCTCCTTAGTTTTCGGCAGTATGATTTAAGTGATATATTTAGGCTGATGTCCTCCTGACAGCAATCTCGCTTTCTGGTAAATACTTGTTGAGCTTTAGCCTATCAGTTATTTTACAGACATCCACAAAGTTAGACATCATACTTGCAAAAAATCCAAGCCAATAACGAATCAAGAAATGAAGCCAGCTAATCCTTGCATTTTCTAATTCTCAAAGATACATGAAATTCATTGGTTATTACATGATTTGTTTAGTACACTTTTATTTCCACCTAAGTGTATGCACATTTGTGCATGGTGTGCGAGCGTTATATAACAGAATCAACATTCATTTGTCATAGTCTTCAGGTCAGGGATTAAATGATGTCCTAAGTTATCCAGATCTAAATAACCTTTGATTAGCTCAGGAAAACTCATCCATGTGACGTAAATATGAATGAGTTCTTGAGCTTCCTAAGCTATATGGGATGTGTATAAAGTGTGCGAATGTTATCAGGATCATGAATAAGCATATTAGCTGAATCTCCTTCTTTTCTTGATGCGTCAACAACTTCTCTAAAATTGGGCCAAAAAAATCTTGCGCA